ACCATGCTTCTCCCGAACCATGAAACTAGTTCGTGTAACCACTGTCAATGATTCAAAGACACCTAGTTTTCACTAAACACAGTTTCTTCTGGAAGGGTTATACGTTTTAGACAAAACAAATCCTTTTTAAACATATACATATCTCGATATCATTTCAGTTGCTCATTTTATAAGTATAGCATTTTAAAGCAAAGTTCTCAAATGAGCTCTTCTGAGATGTAATTTCCCGGTTGGAAAAAGTTATTACTGTCGACTCCAACTAAAGTAGTTCTCTGAATGTGTTTGCCTAACTCAAATTTACATTTCAGCCTCGGTTGATTCTATCAATAAAAATTGTGATTTACCAAGCACTGTGAAAATGTATTTTGGAAGAAAAAAAATCGTAAACTTAGTTCTTAGGACATTCTCTACCTACGTTTTAGGCAGACGTACGTGTGTGTGTGTGTGTGTGTGTGTGTGTGTGTGTGTGTGTGTGTGTGTGTGTGTGTGTGTGTGTGTGTGTGTGTGTGTGTGCGCGCGTGTATGCGTGTATGTGTGTTGGTTTGCATGCGCATAACACGTTATGATTTAACCTAAGGCCTGCATCGTCAAGATTCATTCAGTGTTATGGTAATTCAAAAGTACCTTTCACAATTATTTTTGTGAAATACAAAAATGTCATGTAAATTATCAGTAAATAATCAGTAAATAATTACTATATAGCTAACTTAACATTTGATACAAATTTAGTTGAACACCCGTATCGTCACTATTTGATAGTGAATCAGAAATATATGCTCAATTTGCATGTATCATTGGAATCGTACAATGGAATTTCTTATGATTATGCAAAGGGTTTTGTGGCTTTTTATTGGAAAGAAGTAGAAACTTAACAACTTACACTTTATTGTTTAATACGAATATCAAATTAAAATACGTGTGTAATCATTTCCGAATATGCAGAAACCGTGTCTTTAAATATATCTAAACTGTTTACTTTTTCTCCTATATTCATCGATCATTTTCTAAAAAAGCCACCAACTTCAACCTATGAATCAGCGAAATTAAATTAACAAAATAATGAAGTCAACTTAAATCAATCGTGAAGATGAAAATAACGTTCATGCTAAGTCCGTTCTTTAGCTTGATACGCACACTTTTTCGCGAACATCTGGTGTCATCACTTTTTGATAGTGATTTATAAACACATGTGGGGGCACGGGTGGCCCAGTCGTCTAAGGCGCCGCGATTCGCTGTGCAGAGTTGCGTCCCTTGGGCACGCCAGAAACCTATGATTGTGGGTTCGAATCCCGGTTCGCCCCGATTATGTTTCTAGGTTTGTCAGCACCATACCCGTGCTCGTGGTAATCGTCTGAGACCTGCATCACTTCGGGCTTTCCTCCCACATTAAGCTGACACGCCGCGATATAACTAGAATACTGTTAAAAGCGGCGTTAAAAACCCAACTCACTCACACTATAAACACATGTTTATGACATTGTCGGAATCATACAATCGGCTCTGCTTTTTGCAAAGATTTCTTTTGAAAGAAAGGGTTTTGTCGCTTTTAATTACCTGAAGTCATGTGATCACTTCAATCATTCAAATGCGTCCATGTTAAATGTATGTCCATTCAGTTATCTTATCACTGAGAATTCGAATAATTATCAGAGATTTTTTATCTAAGCCCTAGGTTTTATTTTCCTACAATGCAATACATGTACACGTACAGTGCTTAAGACGAATTCAAACATTCTACATATAGGCACCACTTGGTATTCTGCAAAGGAAACGGTTATGTAAGAAAATACTTATCCTTATATTAATTTTGTTCATTAACATGGTATTTTGACTTGTGTTAAATGTTTGATATACAACTTATACGGTCAGGAGTGTGTGGGTGAGTTTTGTTTAAAGTCGGTAAGAACAATATTTCAGTTTTATCACGGCGCGTCTGCTTGACCTGGGAGGATAAAGACAGAAATGAGTGAGTGAGTAACATTCATAATTCATGCAGGTCTTAGACGTTTACCATTTCGATAAAACCCATGAGCATGGGTATGGTACGGACAAACCTAAAAACATAATCAGGGTGAATCTGGAATTCACATCCAGGAACGTTTTTTTTTTGTTTGTTTTTTTCTTGTTTGTTTGTTGTTTAACGCCGCACTCAGCTTTATGACGGCGGTCTGGACCAGACAATCCAGTGACTGACATCATGAGCATCGATCCACACGATTGGGATACGATGACATATATCAACCAAGTCAGTGAGCCTGACCACCCGATCCCGTTAGTCGCCTCTTACGACAAGCATACTCGCCTCTTATAACAAGCATACCCATGTAAGGCAACATCTGTACAGCGAATTGTGTCCCTTGAGATGACATGCACAAATTTTGACAATATTGTACACCTTTCACGTATGGTTGTATTTGCATTGATCTGCATTTCAGGTTTCGTTTTATACGGTAGTGGCTGGTGATATATGCAACGCCTTTTTCAATTGTATTTCAGCAGATCGTGTTTGAAATTAGGAGGAAAGTGTCAACAGTAATACATGTACAGAAGTTGAAAATCCAGTCCATGGACATTTACCTTTTCGATGAAGCCTAAGAGCACAGGCATGTTCCTTACAGGTCGTAATAGGCCCAAATCTGGTACTCGAAAACACGTACAGTGGATCCTTAAGCTTGAATGCATGTCATATGCCTCATTCATTTTATTACATGGACAAAATCAACAGGGTCTGAAAGGCAACTGATAAAGTTATGTTGGGTATTTCAATGTACAAACAACCCCTCTCAATTACTATACAGGTGAAACTCAGGAACAAAACAATTAACACAGGTCAGGGGCGCAACTAGGCTAGCTAATTTTAAGTAAAGGCAAGACCAGTTTGTCGAGAGCCCTCTCAAGTGGTTTAGCGGCATGCCCCCCTCCTAGGGATTTTTAGAAATTAGATGTTCTTAAACGCTATTTCCTCTATTTTGAGACCGTTTGAGTTAAGTTGTATTTGTAACAAATACTGGTGATTTATTTATTATAATTTCTTATGAGTAATACATAGATAAGTGTTTCATTGATACATTTTCGACTTTCATTCAAGAAACATCTATGATCACAAACGAAATTTCAACATTTAAACGAATCTATAATATTACTGTGATGTTTTTTCACATTTTATGTCGTAGTATGTGATCTGCATGATGGTTATTTATTTTTTCATATTTTAACGCGAGCCGACCTGTCATTATAAAGAAAATAATTGTGAAAGCGCGATATGTTTAAGTCCATAAGTACGTAGTTACTTTGATGAGTTCTCTGCTAGCCTGAGTGAACTACCAGTAAGTTTAGTTATATGACATTTAAGCTTTGGGATGCTATGATGATCTAAAACAGCCTTTCAATCTTCGTCAACAAAGGGACATAATTCACACAAATTGATAAACCATCTACCATCCTAATGTGCGTCATTATAAAATTCCTATTTTCAAGTTAGACAATAAATATCATGTTTGACCTTGTAGAGTTTGAATTAATATTTTACTGCATAGATTGTGAATTGAGTTTTTTTATCTGAAAAAAGAAAATGTGCTTTTTTAGGTGTAAGCAATTGCTTGTCAGCTACAATGGTAGTTTCGCTCCTACAGGTATAATTATGCTGACAAATAACGCACCTCTTGCGAGAATTATCACAAACTCAAGAAAAGAATATTGACAATCCCTTAATAGAATCAGAAGAAATATCGATAAGAGTCCATTGTGCGATTCCGACAAAGCAGACAAAGTTGTAAAGGCCTGTCGCTGTTAGTGATATACATGTATGTGTTGCCTTGTCAGAATGACTTCACCATATAGTTGTAGTGACGGAGTGAGGTTACCGTATTTCATTTTCTTATATGTGACCGCCCGGCCTTGTCAGCATAATGATTGAGTAAAACCCAAAGCGATGCAGGTCTAATAGGCTTATGTATGGTCAGACCGTGAGGATCCGATGTTTAATCTTTGAATCTTTGAGAGCCGAATGATTTAAAAGGCCATTTCAACGACTCAACATAGGATCCAATTGATCTAGCCTGCTAAAGTCATGGCAGACGTTCATTCAAAGCGCCTTAGCCGGTAATATGTCCACACAACATTGTTTCGATAACCGTATCTATAAAGAACTATATACTTAAGCCTAATTGTGAGAATACTGGGTGAGACACCCCTGTTGCAAGTATACAATTCATATTAGATCACACACACACACACACACACACGCGCGCGCGCGCGCACGCACACACGCGCCCGCACGCACACACACACACACACACACACACACGCACGCACGCACGCACGCGCACGCACACACGCGCACGCACACACACACACACACACACACACACACACACACACACACACACACACACACACACCACCACCACCACCACCACCACAACCCACCCACCCTTCTCCCCTAGAATATCAAAGGGAATCACACCTTTTGGCCATTGGTCAACCCATGCTTTCAAATCAAGTTCCCTTGGGCACGCCAGTAACCTTTTATTGGAGCATCGAAACTGTGTCACCATTGTGGTGAATGTCTGAGGCCTGCATCAGTCCGGAATGTCACTCACTCACTCATCACGGGCTTTCCTCCCACAATAAGCTGACACGCCGTGATACAGCTGGAATATTGTTGAAAGCGTCGTTTAAACCAACTCACTCACTCAAATTAAAAGGCCAATGAAGATCCGGAGTAGAATAACTCTTCAGCAACCCATGCTTGCTGTAAAAAGGCGACTATGGTTGTCGTAAGAGGCGACGAATGAGATCGGGTAGTCAGACTCGCTGACTTGGTTTATGCATGTCATCGTATCCCAATTTCGTGGATCGATGCTCATGATGTCAATCACTGGATTGTCTAGTCTAGACTCGATTACTGACATCCCGCCGTCATAAAGCTGGAATATTGCTGAGTGCGGCGTTAAACAAGAAACAAACAAACTCAAATTGAATTGTAAAAACAGCAAACATTCTTGTGCAAAATTGTTTTATTCATACGTAATAAGAAATACATCTGCATTTGCCAATTATGATGCTAATCTCAACAATATCAGTGTGTGGAATGTTGCTGTGCTTATTTACATGTGCTTATGTGTGGTGCTCAATTAGATCTAATTATCTGTTCGATCCAGTCCATTGCTTCTCTCACAAGAGCGACTCTCATGGGGTTTGAACTGTCGTCACACCGTAACTGTGTCACGGCTAATCCCTCCACTGTGCGAGGATCGCTGACGGTGTCTCCCTGGCAAACCACGGGTCCCCCAAAGTCTCCCTGTAAAATTTAGATAGCATATATTTCATCTCGCAGTACACCATACAATGACGTGTATTTAACACGTTTATGACATGATCCAGAGAATTTGCTTGAAGAAATACAAATGCATAGCCAATGAATACTCTATCGAACAAAATTCCTTTGCACGGCAAACTAGTGGTGAAAATGATATGAATGGATCACTGAAAATCACTGATGACACCAGGTGTTCGCGAAATGATTATGCATTTCCCGTTCTACCGGTAACACCCGTCACATACACGATTTGCTTAAAAAATAAGTGTGTGTTTGTTACCTACGAAATTAAAGCGAAAGGAAAGAAACTAAATAAAAATAAATAAAAACATATCTCGTTCATTGCACCTACAGTAAAACCAAAGGCGTGTGTAAAACGTGTTTATGAAATTAGTTTGATTCAAATAAATCAAAATTGAAATAAATAAAATGTTCTTCATTGCAGTGAAGAAAACTAGTATATATGTATTACGTATTCATAACATTACCAGAAAATGTGATTTATTCAAACAAATCAAACTTGAAATATATTATAATTATTATTAGTAGTAGTAGTATTGTTGTTGTTGTTGTTGTTGTTGTTGTTGTTGTTGTTGTTGTTATTATTATTATTATTATTATTATTATTATTATTATTATTATTATCTTACCACACATGCAAAGCTTCCCCTTTCATTGACAGCACAGCCGGTCCTGGATGGATAGGTTGTCTCAGTTCCATTCTTGTAGTAATCAAGAGCCTCACAAGCAGTTTGGCCAAACAGGGTCATGTCAGCTTTCTGCAGTCTATCTCTCAGTTCTGCAAAATAAAGCTCAATGATAAAGGTTATGATAATTCAAAACCTGACTTTTGCATAGTTTTACAGTATTCTCATCAACGAATTTATAAATAAAAGCGACAAAAGATATCTCTGGCAAAGCAGAGTCGATTGTACAATTCCGACTTTAGCATGAGCATGTGTTTATGAATGACTATCAAATTTAGTCTTTTAGTAGTTATTCAGTTTTTTGAAGTTTTTTAGGAGGCAAATATAACAAGTATGTAAGGTAATTTCAGACTATTAATCAATCTTGATTTGAGATGACATAACCATTTAATAAATTCTAACCTTCTAAAACCATATTGATAAATTCCATTTGGAATGTGTTTCACCATTACCTTTACTCAACCACAATTGCTGGGTGTGGCGTAAACAAAATTCACTCATTTATCTAATTTTACTGTATGATAAACAATTTTTTCAATGTGTTTTACTGTATTATATAAGAGAGATACGCGATAATCGCAAAGAACAATGAAGAACGAAGCGTGGTTTATTTTACGATTAAACATTGTTCTATCATGACGTCATTTGTGGATATTCGAAATATACATTGGCAACTTGATGACGTCATATATTGGATGACGTTATAATTATGTTTCAGGGGGAAGTGTCTGATACGTTGTTCCCCGCAGATATACGAAGTGGCAGAACGATCACATCCAAATTTGGGAGAGACATGACAATCGGTATTAGGAAAAACGGTAGGATTGTGAAAATACGCGGAAAAATACCACACTTAACCCACCTGTTCGTGAAATGGACTAATCCAACATTCCGAGGTCGGATTCTATTCAGGGAGTCAGCATTATTCACATATGGGTAAATAGTTTTAAAGAATGACATTTTATCAACATCCTTAAAGAGGCTGTACATCATGTTGATATCTCATATGAGAATTTTCTTAAGTAATATACAATAGTATACAGTAACTTACGTTCATTCTCATTGGCTCCCCATCCAGTGATCTTACACTGAGCAGATGTACACCTCTGTGTAGATCCGCTGGGCAGACAAACTGGACGGACGCATTCATTGATGTCCACATCGGTTTCTAGTTCCACAAGGGCAAATGCATTTTCTGAAATTCAATGACATTGTATGTATTCTGATATTTGTGATTTTGCGTCACCTGTTTTGTTAGATGTTACCTTCAGTTCCTTAACAGTATATATGTTACAGTCAATGTGTCAAATGACTGAAATTTTCACTTAGGCAATTTACAAAACGCCAAATATTTCAGTCATTTTACAGTTATTCTTAATTATTATATTATAATAACGATTTCCAAACACTTTTGTGCTCTATTTCATGACTGAAAATAATAGGATTAAAAGAAAAAGAAAATTATGGCATTTTTGTATTTTCCTGGGTTCTAATCCTCGCATAATTAGAATTTAGAATATGGTGGTCTTTTTAAGCCTTTTTGAACTTCTTAATAACTTTAAGACAATCTGACGGAAAACCAATTATAAAATTACTGAAATAGTTTGGCGTTTTGTAAATTGCCTAAGTAAAAAATTCAGTCATTTTACACATTGACTGTAACATATACATATATAAAGCACAATATTAATAAAACTTATGTGAACCCGTGAAGATCCGGGTTAGAATTGGTCTTCATGATCAGCAATCCATGCTTGCGAGTATGCTTGTCTTTAGAGGCGACTAACCGGATCGGGTAGTCAGGCTCGCTGACTTTGTTGATGCATGTCTTATGACACCGTGTTGTCTGGTCCAGCCTCGGATTATTTGCAGACCGCCGTCATATAGCTGGGATATTGCTGAGTGTGGCGTTAAACAACAACTTATATGCTGTATCACTGATGCTGTATATTACGCGTATATCGATGCAATGTGCGCTCCATTGCATATTGTCAATGTATTTTCTAAGAAAATCTACACTTGGACGCACTTACCAGAAATATAGTCTACTTGTTCAAATAAGGATAAGCTATCCATCTCATTATCGTCGTGATATTTACCTTGCCATATTCTCTCACTTTGGACGAGGGAGATGTTGAGGACGTTGAGGAAGTTGGTGTTGACGTCGAAGTTAAAGTCGGGGTGGAAGTAAACCTGTTTAACTCGCCGGAGTTGTTCGCCTCCATCCTGGGACTGGTGGTCGTAATCTCCCAGAACGACAAACATCTGATTCTGGAAAGACTCCGATGGTAAGTTCCTACCAGCGCTGAAAAACAGAATCACGTCCACATGAAACAGCTGCACTCCGAGGACATCTTCGTTCAAGGGACAGCTGTATTGGGGACCAGGCCTATTCCCCCTCGGCTTCTTGGGGTGACCAACCTGGACACTGGACTGGATCTGACGATGAAATCCCTTGGCTGCATTTCGGCAGGTCTGTTTCAGAGTGTGGTTTTAAGCAGCTTTTAACAATACTCAAGCAATATTGTTATAAGGTAAAAAATGGGTACAGTGTGTGAAGCCCATTTGTGGTGTCCCCCGCCGTGATATTGCTGGAATATTGCTAAAAGCGGCGTAAAACCATACTCACTCACTCACTATAAGGTAAAAATGCACCCAACACGTTAGAAAAATTATGACAAATTCAACCAGAGCGACTTCTTTCGTGAGTCTTCAATGCTATCACTGCCATTTATTGAATCAGCAGGGACAGAGCACATTAGTGGGGGCTTGCTTCGATGCTGTAGTTGCATGTGGATAAATCAGTACAGAATATATAAAGTAGACAGAAGTAATAAGATATAGAATTCATAAGATCATTAAGGGCATCACCAGTAAGTAGTTCTCAGTAATTTGCCATCACGAAACAATCGCGTGTCCATGGTCTGGTTTGCTATCTTAACGCATGATGCATTAGGACACGTGACAAAAGCGGGTCATGCCTGAAGGATGGTTCATTGTGAGTGAGTGAGTGAGTTTGGTTTAACGCCGCTTTTAACAGTATTCCAGTCATATCACGGCGTGTCAGCTTAATGTGGGAGGAAAGCCCGAAGTGATGCAGGTCTCAGACGTTTACCACGTCGGTGAAACCCTCGAGCACGGGTATGGTGCTGACAAACCTAGAAACATAATTGGGGCGAACCGGGATTCGAACCCACAATCATAGGTTTCTGGCGTACCCAAGGGACGCAACTCTGCACAGCGAATCGCGGCGCTTTAGACGACTGGGCCACCCGTGCCCCCTGGTTCTTTGTGATTATGTGCGGGTTCACAGTCAGTCGATCGAGTCGAATCGCCTCAGCGAGCCTGTCCGGACCTGCATTATCCTGTCCTGTCCGGCCTTATCATGTCCAGTGCGGCCTTATCCTGGCCTGTCCGGCCTTATCCTGTCCATGTTGGACTGCAGTTTGTATCAAACTTTGTGTAATGTTAATATTTGTATGTATGCGCCTGTATATGAATACTTTTGTGAGTAATTAGGATCAAAGGTCGTCGGACCCTTCACTCCTTGACTTAGATAGATTCCCCCGAATATGCAAGGTACCGAGTTAGGTCTAACACTGACCACGGCAACACTGTTGTAGTGCCCCCTGACGCCCCAAACACAACAACATAACGGCGGGTGACACCAGACATTGGCTTCACACATTGTTCCCATGTGGGGAATCGAACCCTGCGATACCGGAGGGAGGGGAGGGGGGGACCTGTGGGTAGTCGACCTAGGAGGAAAAAGGCCATAGGGTATTAGTCCGGGGGGATAGGCCTGATACCCTCTGTTGTGGAATCGAGCTTCATGACATGCGCTCAGAGATACGGTTCTGATTAAGGATCGCCATCTTGGATTTGAAACCAGGACTAACGGATGCTTGAACGGTGCAACATTTAAATACGTAATCTGTGCTATGTAGACGTTCAGGTTACATGCATCCTAAGGGACAGGGTGGGTATCCCAAACTTGTTCGAATACCTTTACATTGGCATTTCAATATCAAGTGAAATTCCACTGATTTTATACTAACTCATGTTTCAAATTGTCATTGTCAAAGGGAATGGTTTTCGAGGAACGACCGTCGTCTACTTACAACAACACTGAAAGTGGAGTGGTGAGAATCCACTTTCGCTGAACTAACACACCGCCAGCAACGTGAACGGAATTAAAGATGGACTGAGGCTGACTGAGGTCGGTGACACGACGTAGCGACGCCTGCCACGGGGACTGACATGGTTCTTCATCCACGGACAGAGCAAGTCGGGCTCGAACCCCAAGCTCTCCACAGCCTGGGTAGTTCAGTGTAGAGACACCGTCTGAAAGATGGAACGTCTTTAGTCGGGTCTCCCTGGTATTGGCTTCGTTGCGTGAGTTTGGTTAACCGTCGCTTTGGACATTATTAATTATGTGACGGCGATTATTCTTACATAAGAAAGAAATAGTAATAATGTTCCTGGAAGTGCTGCGCTTTGGTGAACACGGGCGTGGTTTTAACACGGAGGATAAGAATGGTGTGAATCTTTTAGCGATCTCTAAGGCTATATCAGTATGTGGGGGCGCTTAATAAGAAACGTTTTGTGCTTAACGTATGTGTAAATGAAAAGGTTTGTATGGACATCCAGAATAAAGAATTCGGTAAATTCCCATTGTCTGGTTTTAGTTGTTCCAAAAATGAATTAAAGTATATATTTAATTACTTGGTCATCATATACACGTGAACATGTAGTTGGTCATAACAAATGACATAGTACTTCGTGGGAGATATTTTTAAATTTGAATCTTGATAAGCTAGTGATTTTTTTCACAACTGATTTATGTTTTGGCAAATTGAATTGGAATTCCACATGCATCTTAATTTACACAGTTTAGGGACGTTGCATGTTGGTTTGTTCCTTTTTGCTAAGTAGTTCTGAACAAAAAGAGTTATGAAAGCGAAATAATGGAACGTAAAAACGCCCGGGAACACAAGTATTTTAAATTGCCTAATTAATATTTCCAGTTAATTTACCTTTTTGTTCACAGCATACGTTGTTCGTCGCCCAACAGAGAAGGTAGTTTTGGGGGTTGACTGCTTGCCAGCCGGACGGGCAGTCAGATGCGTATCTCCCTGGGTGGCAGCTGCGAACAGCTGGCCCTTTCGCCCCACGAGCACACACTGCAGACAATATATTGCAATGAATTAAGCATTTTACATTTACCCATATATTGTAAAAGACAATATACACCTTCCGTGAAACCGCATGGCTCAAAGTTCATTTATTTAGCTCGACGTTTCGTTTATGATATATGATATATACTTTCCAAAAAAGTTCTGAATATTTGAAAATAACAGATCATTACAGAAATATAAACAGGTATCGAGTTATGGTTAATGGATGGATCAAAACATAAGGACTAGGTTAACTTGACAATCAACAGAATATAGCGATGTATTTTGTAAGAGTGCAAAACCAACAAAGATGACAGGGGGGTGTAGTATAACAACATCATTGAGATCATCAATATTGGGTCACGTCTGGCTAGAATGTGTCCATTTGTAAACGGCATTACACGTGGTCGTCTAGTTAGCAACTTGAACTACGGTGGCCTGGCGCAACTGATCAGCGAATTGTTTGGCTCGATTTCTAATCGATTCTGGACTTGGGAATACACATATGGCGCCCTGTGTGATGGCCGATTATTATCATTTTATGTCTGCAGAAAGCTGTTCCAATGTCTGCAAATCGAGACCGAGACACATTGAATATATTGGCTTTATTTCGCTGAGCTCTACCAGTTTGTAGCATGTCAACATCCCGTAGGCCATCATCATGGATATTTTTGTTTGCAGGTTGTCGTTTGATAAAGTTATCAATATTATGAAAGATCCAAATATAACAGTATTCTGGAATAATACAATCCAATTGTTTTACCAAGAGTACATTCCTGGTGCCTCCTGTTAATGAGATAACAACAGAACGACGTAGACGTGTAGTCTCATCTTTGTTTAGCCAAAATTAAATAATGTGTACAGGAAATGATTACAAAGTAATATTATACACCATCTGTTTTAAAACACTTTCATGTATGATTTCAAATTTTGTTTGCAGATATTCTCTGATAAGTAAATGTGTCTGATTTCCCCGACGCCATACTCTTCTAAATGTTTCTTATACGTTTATATTTTCATAGGTTAAATATTTTCAGAACATTGACATTGGTTCTTTGATAATTTAACCCATTTTACTAATTTACTGACAGACACGATTTAACCCATCGTGAAATAGTAAACCTTTATTTGCGGTCATTAAACATCAACGTATTCCATCAGTTTGTTTGTTCCAAAACTCTCGCCCACAGAGTAGGTATCTGCAAATGTCACATCCACACATCCACACGGTACAAGTACATATGCTGGTAACACACACCTACACGACTATACTTACTTTGCCGTCAACTGTTAAGCCTACTCATTAATTTGTGACATTTGCCTTACCTTGCTTATCTTGAATAACGACTGATTCCACGAAACTTCGTATTAAAAGATAGAAAATACAAATAATACAGACACGATTTCCAACTAAGGTCCAGTTTTACAAGCAATTATGTTACAGAATGTTACAGATGACTGCGTGAATGTTACAATTCATTAGTTAACATTAAAGTCATGCTTTAAATTCTTTGCGTTTAGTACCTAAAGCAAACAATAAACGGTTACAACGCGAAGTCATAAGAAATACACACATTTACAATGATTTGTTGAATGTGATCTGTTAAATCTGAGAGGACAACTTGGCATCACTATGAAGAAATTAAATTGATAACAAACTTGGTGTGAAACACACCTATTCTCCTTGAAATTTTCTCATAATCATTTTTTTCGTTTGCGATGTAATATCTGCCCCACAGAATTGTGAACAATCAAAATTATTCTATGGTAGGAAAATGTTAATATGAATACATTCCGAGATGTGGCTGTTTCACTGGTCTCTTATATTTCTAGTTCAGGTGGGTAGGTCAGTGGCTATTTTATCATTAATGTATTGAGTGAGGGAGTATGGTTTTACGCCGCTTTTAACAATATTCCAGTGGGGGACACGAGAAATGGGCTTCACACATTGTATCCATGTGGGGATCGAACCCGGGTCTTCGGCGTGATGAGCGAACGCTTTAACCACTAGGCTACCCGACCGCCCTATTAATATATTGAACGATATCGGATCATCAGTATACCAGAAGATGAATTTTAAACTATTTACTAAATTCGCTTGTTTCGATTTTGCAAAGCCGAGCCGAAATTCTAACTCATATGCATAAAGATACATTCTCTGAGCTTGTTAACTGAAGCTTCATTAAGAAACTCTCGCTGACTTGCAAACAATAATGAAAATGACCCTGAATTAAAAAAATGACTTATGAAATATTAAAATTTTAGATTTCATATTTATGCTTTGATGTGTTTTCTTTGAGGAAATACAAGAAAACGCTACGTGGGCGTGCCATGGCTTTCAGGTCGATAATCGTCTATCACTCTGAAAAAGTGTTTAGATACCTGAATGTGGGATGCATATGCTTATTGGTCAAGGAACAACTGAGTCTCATATCTGTAACATGATATGGAAGAATACCTTCCAGAAAATTCTGGCTGTTGATGTCAAGTCATTAGGTTCAGCCTTCGTTTCATATCTGTATTCCTCTCACAGTTGTTGTTGATTAACTACACAGGATCTGTTGACGCTTCCCAGAAATCATGGGAAGGGTACAATAGATTACCTCAGGAATGCCAGAGCATATATTTGTTCGGATTAAAACCTGCTTTGGGTCGTCCTTCTGTTTCAGGACACGTTTAGAAGCAAATCTTCTGGGTTTATTGAAAACGTACATTGAAGGTTCCATGTTCTCATACTGATAATAACAAGTTAGACAGTATTACATCGCAACCAGGACATGAGAAACATATTATATGAAAAGACATATTCACAACCTATTTAATTTCCATGTCCATGACATAATTTATAAGAAATTTGAAACCCAATTGGAAACGCTTTTCATCAGTGCGTCAGAAGGAGGTATATGACGTAATACGTAGCAAATCTCACTATTTAAGAAATATATATATATATAGGTTATATCAACATCTATAATTTTTACTTGTCTATACTTACGACTGTTCCTTTGAAATGCCCATGGAAGCTCCGCAAGGGAAGGACTTCCTAGAAAGCCAACAAGTAGTACAAGGGTCTGCAGTCTAGTCGCCATTTTGATCCTCAAATCTCGGGTTGATCTCGTTATATATCGGCTTGGTACACCTTTGCCGGCCCTGCAAACACCTTTCGGGAATGTTGGCCAGGCCTAATTTGTGTGATGTTTCCACACCCAAGTCAAACACTCACACTGTAGCGGGGATAACCTCCTCGTGCTGAGATTTGGTGGTAGGGAGGTTTAATTAAAATAATGTTACTCTTAGAAACAAACCACAAAAGACACATTGTGTCAGTTCTTCCTGTTATATTTAACATGTAACAATGAATTGTTCCTTGAAGATATAGTTTTGAGTTACCCAATGATTCAATTAAAATTAAATATATGTATAATATATCAGAAAATATTTGCATTTTAATTGGAAGTGAGAATAATTATTACCTCACAACCATTATCTTAGAAAAAAATATTTTTTTTAGAATGAAGTAAGAATATATGAGTACAACAATATTAACATGTGGCTTTTTTCATTGCCCATTACTGATTTATATATGAGAGTTGGAACTGCATCTTCAATGGCTGTACGTGTATCTTATGGAGAGAGTTTGTTGTCACTCTGAATTTCTATGTCTTTATGTAATTATGAAACAAATGGGATTGTTTCACAGATCTGTTAGATCAGGTGGGTAAGTCAGTTGACAATTCTTGAACTCATGAATTGTAAGCATTCTCTGAGATTCCGGCCTACAAACGATCACGAAAATGACACTGATTAAACATATGCCATACAAATATTAACATATTAGATGTCATATTCATAGTTTGATGAATAAGAGGTGCCTCATATGTTTTTAAGATATGTTTTACAAAATACACAAATCTCATTGAAACCAAAAGGAACTTTCTCTTCGTCATTCAAATATGATTAGCACTTGACACACGTCGCAAATTGTATCAAAATCATTACATATTATTTGATAAATCATACCCAAACTGCCATCTGAAGAGGTATAACCAAAATATCAAAACCCGCTTGGGGTCCACACTTTATTGGTTCGGAAAGTATACACCGGCTGTGAGAAATACGATGGAAGGGGGATAACTCCTATCACAAATCGTCAATGTTTTTACAAATCGCCCATCAAATCGTGATACTGCTACTTAGCTTTGAAGAATGAGTTGTGCACGGATATCATATTGGCGGGTCTGGTACTAGGATGGTGCATGGATTGCTGGATTGGATATTTTGATATTTATGTCCATTTCATAACGCTCGTCCCATTCACTAAATAAATGCGCATGGCGCTATTAATCATAATTCATTTGAATGTCAGTCTTGTCTTTTTAGAGAATACAACCCCTCTTTCTTATGACAGTCTAACGCTAGGAGGTATTCAGTCACAATTACATCCCACCGGGTACCCATTCACTGTTTGATAAACGTGGGCATATTTCGTCACAATATTTCGTCACATGCCCAAAGAGATACCCCAAGTTGTAACCTTAGTGTCAATGTGAGGTAGGACAACAGTCCAAGAAACTCTTTCCCAATACCCATCCACCTACTCACCAAGATGGAGGATGGAAAGATGTGGAGGATGAGGCAAAGGATAAAGGATGAGAACATCAATTCGTCAATCCATCCAGACCATCAGCTGTAATCGCACCTTAAAGTGTAGTCAAGGAAGAACACAACGTAGCTCCGTGTCCTTGTGTCGTCTCCATTGTCCTGTGTACTCTTGCACATCATGATGTTAATCAGATACGGGTGTGCATACATGTATCTCCAGAAAAGTGGTGAGGAGTATGAACAAATACTGCACCTATTTTATTTCATGAATATATTTTCGAAATACTAGCATAATCATACAAACACTTTTCCTCGAGTTTTTGAATAAACATTATACAAAGGCTTTAGCGCTGGTAATTTAAAACATGCGCTGCATGCACTGCTCTGCAAATGACACATTGCATCCTGCACATCTCCCGTCCTTAAAATAAATATATTTTTAATTTAAAACGAGAGATGGTGTTTACTTTTCGAACCTAGCGTCCTAGCGCGATTATACGACTGTGGCCAACGCAGGCGGGCTACTCGCACGAACTAGCGTATTCATTATAAGATGATTCACAGCCAAGACATGCTGTATGTGATGTGTACTTGTATGTTTGAACATCATGTCATTATGAAAAAACAAGCCGCAGAAACAGACCTGCCATGACTTGCACAAGATGATGGCTTAGTTCTACACCACGTTTGGTCAATTTCCCAAAACACTGTACACAGGGAACACCAAGACTTGCCTTCACAAGCCATGTTGTGAATAGATCCCGCTCTTGGCGTCACGAGCGAACGCTTTAACCACTAGGCTCCCGGACGCCCCACAATTAAATCGTTGTAGACTACAAAACCGATCGCAGCCCGGTTGAAGTTTAATAGATTAATTTACATAAATGCCACGTGCATGTGTGTAACACTTCGCATTTATATAAATCCCTCGCACATATATTCAAAAGGTTTCGAAAAGTGAAGTGACTCAAAACGTATTTGTTATGGCAGTGTCTGTGTCCCATTAGACTTTACCCTCCGTTTGGAAAAATTTTGCCACCCTCTTGAAATCTTCTAATTTCTTTAATATTTTAATATCCATTCCAACATGTCATTTCAATCACTACCACTAATCATGACACGAATAATATTGATAGGTTAACAGTAAAATATACGATAATCAATGCTCCCGATGACGTATGTTAGATAAACATAGATCACAAAGAAAAGTTTTGTGCCAAGTATTTTTTATAACCTTAAATACAATATACATCTGCAAATGCCAGTTATGATGCAATAACAATATTAATCATGTCCATTTGATGGTGTTCATAATTTTGACGTCACAGTCTTCAGGGATTCTCTCTGAAGATCTGTTCGATCCAGTCCGTAGCTTGTCGGATGTCAGCAATGTTAAACTGTGAACTTGTGGGATCGCTGCTACATGTGATCATCTCCATCATAGTCAGACTGTCAGCAACATACTTCCCAGTGGCATCATCCCTGCAGATCACGCCACCACCAAAATCACCCTGAAAGAAAATGGCAATGAGAGTGTGAGAGAGTTGGTTTTACCGCCGCTTTGAAGTTTGTTTGCTATATAACGCCGCACTCAGCTATAGTTCAGCTATATGACGGCGGTATGTAAATAATCGTGTCTTGACCAGACCATCCAGTGATTGGTATCCTGAGCATCGATCTACAATCGGGATACGACGACATGCATCAACCAAGTCAACGAGTCTTACCACCCTATCCCGTTAGTCGCCTCTTACGACAAGCAAAGTGGCCTCTTGGGTTGCTGAAGACCTATTCTATCCCGGATCTTCACGGGTCTGATTGGAGGAAAGGGATGCTGGCCTCAGGTGTTTACAACCAGACTGGGTATGGTGCTGAATAAACTAGAAACATAATCCGGGCGAATCTGCGAATCAAACCCACGGCCTCGGGTGCCTGTGTTATTGCAATAAAAGCGAAGGTATTTTTCAGCCGTTTGTTTCATTGTGTCTACTAATATGTAATGTCATTTTCAAAAGGGGTGTCGCTTAGGAAACTGGCAAAACGCAAAAAACACTAAAATGCCACCTCAGTTAAAACTAAATGTGACATGTTGGAGTGAGAATATGTTAGGTGTTTTTTTGCTAAAACAAAATTCTGTGAACAGTCGAGTTTGTATTCTGTATGTACAGCACGTTTTAAGAAATGAAACATGTATATCGGTTAATTGCTTTCCTATAAAAAAAACAACAACATATATGGAGAGTATTACATTCATGTTTGTACCATTGTTATTTTATGAAACGGATCTCAGGATTGTCCGAGTGAAAGCGGGAGCAAAACATTATTTCCGACAAGTTTCGTAAAATCACGACAGGCAAACAAAGTTAAAACTCAATTGAGTCATCATAATTATTGAATATCAACTGAGGGGATCCAGTTTCCTCTACCGTGTCAAATGACAGTATCCACGTGATGTCATAATAAAAATGTGAGTCGCTAAATATCACGTCAACAACTATGCTTGTTTCAACAATGGAGTCTGGACTACTTTGACACAGCGACAACATGTGGAGCGTACGCGTATTTTGAATCGTCCGTGGCTATAGATAATAGTACTCATGATTATGGCTTTCATATGAGAGCAAACGGAGGTATCTTCTTGGGTGTTCTCTATACTCACGTTGCATGGCGAAGCACCAGTTCCGTTGATGGCACACTTGGTCGTCAGAGGTTGAACAACGGGAACTTGGTTGTTGCGGTAATAACTGAGGGCTTCACATGCGTCGAAATCAAACACCTGTACCTCAGCCTTCTGGAGAACGCCCGACAGGTCTATAGTAATAATAATAATGATGATGATGAATGAGAAACGACCCATACCGTAGGGGTAATATGACACACAATCAGCCAGGTCACACATTGTAACCATCCGATTCTCATTGACCGCCTCTACACACAAGAGACACAATCAGCCAGGTCTCACATTGTAACCATCCGATTCTCATTGATCGGCTCTACACACGAGAGACACAATCAGCCAGGTCACACATTGTGACCATCCGATTCTCATTGATCGGCTCTACACACAAGAGACACATTCAGCCATGTCACATATTGTAACCATCCGATTCTCATTGATCGGCTCTAAACACAAGAGACACAATCAGCCAGATCACACATTGTAACCATCTGATTGTCATTGATCGGCTCCACAGACAAGAGACACAATCAGCCATGTCACACATTGTAACCATCCGCTTCTCATTGATCGGCTCTAAACACAGAGACAGGAGACACAGTCAGCCATGTCACACATTGTAACCGTCCGATTCTCATTGATCGGCTCACACACAAGAGACACAATCAGCCATGTCACACATTGTAACCATCCGATTCACATTGATCGGCTCTTCACACAAGAGACACAATCAGCCAGGTCACACATTGTAACCATCCGATTCTCTTTGATCGGCTCTACACACAAGGGACACAATTAGCCAGGTCACACATTGTAACCATCCGATTCTCATTGATCGGCTCTACAGACAAGAAACACAATCAGCCAGATCACACATTGTGACCATCCGATTCTCATTGATCGGCTCTACACACAAGAGACACAATCAGCCATGTCATACATTGTAACCATCCGATTCTCATTGATCGGCTCTACAGACAAGAGACACAATCAGCCATGTCACACATTGTAACCATCCGATTCTCATTGATCGGCTCTACAGACAAGAAACACAATCAGCCATGTCACACATTGTAACCATCCGATTCTCATTGATCGGCTCACACACAAGAGACACAATCAGCCATGTCACACATTGTAACCATCCGATTCTCTTTGATCGGCTCTAAACACAAGGGACACAATCAGCCAGGTCACACATTGTAACCATCCGATTCTCATTGATCGGCTCTAAACACAAGAGACACAATCAGCCAGGTCACCAATTGTAACCATCCGATTCTCTTTGATCGGCTCTAAAGACAAGGGACACAATCAGCCAGGTCACACATTGTAACCATCCGATTCTCGTTGATTGGCTCTAAACACAAGAGACACAATCAGCCAGGTCACACATTGTAACCATTGGATTCTCATTGTTCGGCTCTACACACAAGAGACACAATCAGCCATGTCACACATTGTAACCATCCGCTTCTCATTGTACGGCTCTAAACACAAAGAGACAGGAGACACACTCCGCCTGTCACACATTGTAACCATCCGATTCTCATTGTTCGGCCCTAAACACAAGAGACACAATCAGCCATGTCACACATTGTAACCATCCGATTCTAATTGATCGGCTCTACACTCAAGAGACACAGTCAGCCAGGTCACACATTGTGACCATCCGATTCTCATTAATCGGCTCTACACACAAGAAATACAATCAGCCAGGTCACACATTGTAACCATCCGATTTTCATTGATCGGCTCTACACACAAGAGACACAATCAGCTAGGTCACACATTGTGACCATCCGATTCTCATTAATCGGCTCTACACACAAGAGACACAATCAGCCAGGTCACACATTGTGACCATCCGATTCTCATTAATCGGCTCTACACACAAGAGACACAGTCAGCCAGGTCACACATTGTGACCATCCGATTCTCATTAATCGGCTCTACACACAAGAAACACAATCAGCCAGGTCACACATTGTGACCATCCGATTTTCATTAATCGGCTCTACACACAAGAGACACAATCAGCCAGGTCACACATTGTGACCATCCGATTCTCATTAATCGACCCTTAAGACAAGCTTGGGGCCGGAATGCAGAGCATACAGTCATAATAATGACAGAAAAAGTTAGTGTTTAGGAAATTCGTTAATGATTACCTTCTCAGTATTTATAATCAACCGGCAGATTTGATCAAGGTATATGGACTTGACATATGTAAATACAGAATGCATACTTTCATCGGTACTGGTACCCCATCCTGTGATCTTGCACGTTGGGGATCCGCACTTCTCTGGGTACTCCTTGGCGATGGGGATGCAAGCAGGGCGAGCGCAGTCTGTTAGTGTCACCTCTCTTTCAAGCTCAACCAGAGCGTAAGAAAATTCTGGAGAAAGAAATGAACAATGGAAGCCTTACGAATCAACAACATTCACGTACATCACAAACTGAGCTTAATGTGGCGGGGCTAAGGGTGAGTTCCTTGCACAACATCATCAGAGAAAGACAATAGTCACATACCTTGGTACGGAAGGGAAATTGCTGCAGGAGAAATGACTCCGGTCAAGATCAAAGAGAAAAAGTCGGTTGTGATTTGGAAGCGGCTCAGAGGGTGGAATGTGACATTCTTAATTCTGATGTATTGCTCATCTCCATTATCTTGGAAGATGTTGTGATCTCCAACCGAGGCAAACAGGGTATGGGAGTAAAAGGGATCTGAAGCTGATCTTCTACCGGCTCTGAAATAAATGTACAGGAATTGGTTGAAACTAGATGTATATACAATTCTGCTGGTCGTCTACCGGCTCTCAAATAAATGTACAGGAATTGGTTGAAACTACATAGCGTCTCGTTCCATCGAACGAAATATCAGAAACATGTAGGGATATAGCAAAGATGTAGCCTCACCTTATAAGAGCAAAAGCTGTGGTTAGAACCCACTTGCCCTGAATAAGAATGCCAGCGCCTTGATGCTGAGAGTTGGCAAAGTTTGGTACTTGGTTCAGAATTGTTGTGTCAGCAAACCTTCTGAAAGACACTTGCCACGGGCTAATGCACTTCTGTTCTGCTTCAGAGAATCCTATCCTTATTTGTGGCGTAGGTACAGTACCACAGTCAGGGTGGTTGATTTCAACTGAGGAGAGAAAAGTGCATGCTCAGATCTATTACTCATCAAACGTTTCAGTGAGTAAAAGATAGTTTTAGGCCTCGTTTAGCAATATTCACGCGATATGGTGGCGGGGGGGGGGGGGGGGGGGGGGAACATACAGTAAGTCGAGGAGGGGAACATTAGGAAAGATGTGGCTGAGGTGAAATGGGATTTAACGTCGCGTCTAAGATTATGCACCTATTTGGCGACGTGCATGCACGTGTGTATATGTGTGGCTGCTTCTACTAGTCCGAGTTTATAGTGCTCGCCCACTAAGATACCATGCCGTAGTTTAACATGAATACCCCACTAAGACACAGTATACTGTCTCCGAGTGTTCATGACGTCATGGCGATTTTATATGACGTCGTTCCACCATGACAGTAACTGGGCTGATGTCTCCATTTGAGGTCCGGAAACTCACATTTTTCTACATGGAATGTTGAATGTTAATTCACTCGGGACAGATGATCCGAAATTTCACGTGTCTAGTAGGTTATTCTCTAAATACACCAGTGTCCGTCGCTAAGACTATCGTAAAGTCCATAACAGAGCCTTATTAAAGTCGTAACGCTGAGATGGCTTTGTTGAACGGCGCCCTGGACACTATAGTGGTACATCCAGGTACATACTTGACATTCAAACTACACGGTATCTATCAGGTTTCTATGATATTACCTATGCAACTTGTTTTTCCATCGCCAGTGTAACCTGCTTGGCAAACACAGGTATAGGATCCAATTGTGTCCACACAATTTGCGTTAGCTGCGCATGTAAAGGTGGCTGCGTTGGAACACTCATTAACGTCTGAAAAAGTAATACCATAAAATTAAACAGTTCCTCACACGCTGCTCAAGCTCACCTACCGTCACCATACTTCCAAATGTATTGACCTGCGTTTCGGTGCTAATTACCAATTGTAGGCAAAATAAAAGACTTGCGTGTCAATATGTACAGCGAATTTTTATTGAAGCGTTAAAACTCCGTTACATAAAACCTTAGCTTATACTTTAAATCAGTAATAATACGTTAGGGGAAGACCATTTGAAATTCATGGGGTCAGGGTTGGTTTGTTGGTTTGTTCTTTAACGCCGCACTAAATTGCTGAATTAATCGTATACAAGTAGCCCCTGTAAATCAGAGACAATCTGTGCACAGATAGAAATTGAAAATATTGAATGCGAATATGTTCATTGGGAAATTGGCAAACCAACCTGTCTAGTTCGCGTGCGTGCGTGTGTGCATATATGTGTACCTATAACACAATGGTAGAGTCGAGATCAAAAGCCAAATATCCATACACTACTTAATAATCCTTTTCAAAGTAATGTTTTAAAACATTTTACATATTCCACCCCGGCTCTCCGCGTGTCTTTTCGGGACTGGGAGTGTTCCACATATCATTTACTATAATATTCCATAAAAATAATTCGTTCCCGAAAACAACACATCAGTTTCTTAATAAAAAAACATCGATAAACTTGTTCCGCTCCTCGTGCTGCGAGACTAAAAATATTCATCCAACACAAATCCCAGCCACTGACTGTTCATTGTAAACAAAATAGCACTCACTTGTACAGGTGACTCCATCCCCAGTGTAGCCGGGATTACATGTGCATGTGTAGGTACCAGGTTGGTTCACGCAGGTGGCTTCAGCGTGGCATGTTCCAGAAATGTCACACTCGTTGACATCTGTTGAGGAACAATATCATGGCATTAGCAATATATCAGCAAGCTGAAAACAGCGGCCAATGTAGACCAATTATGTCTGTCAACGCTAAACTAGCAAGGTTAAAACAGCGGCCAGTGTCCACCAATTATGCCTGTCAACACTAAACTAGCAAGGTTAAAACAGCGACCAGTGACGACAAATTATGTCTGTCAACGCTAAACTAGCAAGGTTAAAACAGCGGCCAGTTTCCACAAATTATGCCTGTCAACACTAAACCAGGAAGGTGAAAACAGCGGCCAGTGTCCACAAATTATGCCTGTCAACACTAAACCAGGAAGGTGAAAACAGCGGCCACGGCCAGTGTCCACCAATTATGCCTGTCAACACTAAACTAGCAAGGTTAAAACAGCGGCCAGTGTCTACCAATCATGTCTGTCAACACTAAACTAGCAAGGTTAAAACAGCGGCCAGTGTCTACCAATCATGTCTGTCAACACTAAACTAGCAAGGTTAAAACAGCGGCCAGTGTCTACCAATCATGTCTGTCAACACTAAACTAGCAAGGTTAAAACAGCGGCCAGTGTCGACCAATTATGTCTATCAACGCTAAACTAGCAAGGTTAAAACAGCGGCCAGTGTCGATAAAGTTTGTCTGTCAACACTAAACCAGGAAGGTGAAAACAGCGGCCAGTGTCCACCAATTATGCCTGTCAACACTAAACTAGCAAGGTTAAAACAGCGACCAGTGATGACAAATTATGTCTGTCAACGCTAAACTAGCAAGGTTAAAACAGCGGCCAGTGTCCACAAATTATGTCTGTCAACACTAAACTAGGAAGGTGAAAACAGCGGCCAGTATAGACAAATCATGTCGGTCAACGCTAAGCCAGCAACAACGGCCAGTGTAGACAAATTACATGCATGTCTGTCAACGCCGGTCCAAAAATAATAAAATGTGCCAGAAGGTAATTATTGTTGTTTCTGTTCTTATTTCATCTGACCGAAAAAACTTTTAAACGCTTAATTTAAAAGTATTATTTTGAATAATAATAATAATAATAATAATGTTTGTACTTCTTTTACGCTAGACTCCATAAACAAAATGCATGCTCAAAGCGATGACATTATTACCCCCGTCAATGGAGTCTGAACTCGTTGATCATTCTCAGCTCCCTGGGGAGTATACAACCCAAGACGCCTGTGAGGCGTTAGAAGGTTAACTGTCACAATGTATTACATTCTATTCTATTATTATTACCAACGACCCTTGAAACCAAAAAAATTGTAAACTAAAAGCATGAAAGAGAGTCTGCAGTATAGTTTCATTTTCACATATGTGCCTATGTTAATAGACGGAGATGAAAGTATAAATGTTACACATGGAATAAGACAGAGCTGTTGACTTGAGAGAGACGAGTAGACACATGTACAAAAGTTTTGCCAGACACGGGGGCAAGGGACACAACTATAATCTTACCTGTACACGTGAAGCCATTCCCAGTGTAACCGGAATTACACGTGCAGGTGTACGATCCAAAGGTGTCACTGCAGGTGGCAGCAGAGTCACAGTTGTTAATGTTGGGTGCTGCGCATTCATTAATATCTGTGTGCGAGAATGTAAAAGTGTGTAAGTTTACTGATCAAACTTTAAAATATATATCCCTAAAACACTTATACACACTTCATATCACACCAGTATTTGGGTGAATTTGGGTTTAACGTCGCGTCCAAGATTATTGCACTTATATAGCGACGTGCATGCACGTGTGTGTGTGTGTGTGTGGCTGCTTCTACTAGTCCGGACTGATGCCGATTTATAGTGCTAGCTCACTGAGATACCATGCCGCAGTTTAACATGAATACCCCACTCAGACACAGTATACTGACTCCGAGCCGACCAGTCCTTGTTTTTAGCCCCTTAATGCCGAGCGCCAGACAGGGTAGCAACAAGTACCATCTTTTAACGTCTTTTGGTATGACGCGGCCGGGGATCGAACCCCGGACCTTCCGCTCTCCGGGCGAACGCTCTACCACAAGACCACGGAGGCGGCGTATTAAAATCAAGAAGAGTGAGTGAGTTAAAATTTAATGTTGCATTATTTCAGCCATATAGCGACATAACCATGAAGAACACCGTAAAGGAATCGCTGACGCTTCACAACACAAAATGATTACAGTTACTGAATTAATAAATCATTTCTTTAGATAGATAGATAGATAGATAGATAGATAGATAGATAGATAGATAGATAGATAGATAGATAGATAGATAGATAGATAGATAGATAGATAGATATGCGAAAAAGAAAATCATAAGATATATTTTAGGAACAAGGGCATTTTAAATCATGTGTAGTATGTCAGATTATGATGAATTGAAGGTGAAAAGGGTTTATCATCGAGGTCGTTCAAGATTATTTCACTATATATAGAGAAGTGTATGCAGGTGTGTGTGAGGCTCATTGTATTAATCCGGATTTATGCCGGTTCAAAAGTGCTAGCGTTTTTTGGCCGAGCGGCAGGCTGGGTGAGAGCAATTCTCTCACCGTACTTTAAAGTTCTAGGTTGATTGGTTAAGGAGTGGGCAACTATATTCCATGTAGCCCGCTTATGTAGCCCGCTGAAGAATTACTCGGAACATCTTAGGTTACTTGTACATCTCGAATAAGTATCGCTGAGTGGGAAAGAACCGATGTTTATCCGTTGCATTGGGAAAAAGGAAACTCGTTTTGTTATGTCGTCTGCTTCGGGTTTTCCTAACTCAGTGAATCTGCGGACATATATTCCGGGCTAAAATGAATGAATGACGGAAGGACAATTCGTTGTCAACCGATCGATCCCTCGAGGTATAAGGTGAATGTACCCTGTTTGTGAGCCCATGTGCACTAGTATATGGTGTTTAAGGGGTCTTACTGATACAGGTAGATCCATCCCCAGAGAAACCGACTCGGCAGGTGCAGGTGAAGGAGCCTACGGTGTTGGCGCAGTCAGCGTTGCCGTCACAGCCCCCGTTGTTGGTAGCACATTCGTTTACATCTGAAATTGAATAAAAATTGGATGTCAGAAAATCGATATTTTCGAAAAACGATTATTTCTGCATAATCTGAAACATGTAACTCCTGTAAACCAGTGAACAAAAACCGCAGTTATTTATTTGTTGTTTTCCACCGGAGCAAGAAATATTAAATAAAAAATACGGCGATGTAAACATAACGGGCAAACCAGTCGTCCACAGTGTGATCAACGCCCACTACACCAGGGTACAGTGACACGTAACAATCAAAGTTTGGAGTATGCTTCTGGGACCCGTGCCACAAAGCGATCTTAGCGCTAACTCGGTCGTAACTCCCATTCTTTAACACTAACTTACGACAGTCGTAGCGCTAAGATCGCTTTGTGGAACGGGTCCCTGGACTCCAAGCGTAAGTGAGGAACCACATTTAAAGAGGTCTGAAGTATTTAGGAGAGTAACCTCAATGACTCGTCTCAGACATCCACACAAATTCAGTGAGTTTGGAACAACGGAAAGAGGCTTCCAAACTGTACTCATTTGGGTATTCGAACTCCGGCCTTCGGCTTCAAGAGCTAAAGCTTTTTGACAAACAACATCGAAGTGTAAACTTTTTCGAAGCCTGGTGCTTCTCAATGAAATGTCGTCGTTTTGGCAAATATAGTTTGCATTGATTTTCTTTAATAATCTGTGATTGAGGGTTCGAATCCCAGTTCGCCCTGATTATGTTTCTAGGTTTGTCAGCACCATACCCGTGCTTGTGGGTTTCACCAAATGGTAAACATCTGGGACCTGCATCACTTTTGGGCTTTCCTTTCGCATTAAGCTGACACGCCGTGATATAACTGGAATACTGTTCAAAGCAGCGTTAATCCAAAATCATTCACTCATTTTAATAATGTGTAGTTATTTAATTATTATAAATTTCAAATATTACCTGTGCATCCAACATTGCCATTTCCGCTAAAACCAGTGAAGCAGACGCAGGCGTATGAGCCAAATGTATCAACGCAATTTGCGTTAGCCCCGCATAAGTTGGTGTTGAGACACTCATTGTTATCTGAGACAGAAATATCATAGGAATAAGAGAGGGTCCAAATACTCCTCAGGTGCTCACCAGCGGCTGTAACATATATACCCATATTTATTACCTGCGCTTGCTCATATGCCATTGGAGATATGTGAAAAAAAAATGCATCCTCACACAATGAAACTTCGTTAATCCCGACGATATCGTGTACGGTGAACCCAATAATAAACAATGTCTGGTTTAACGAATCATACAATGCGTTGTGATATAGGTTCAGTACAGATAAACGTTCCTAAAAGTAATCGCCAAAAAAAGTGAGAAGTCCGTATAAACAAGGTCTTGGCTTTCGGGGTGTGACTTTATACAGGGAATATCCAATGAACAGATACAGTGCTCTCAACTTATACCAGATAATAATAATTGTTATTGCATAATAAAATAGGGCCATAATAACAATAAATGCCCGAACCCTAATGTGGTAATACAAATAAATGTACATGATGTGTTTAACAATGTAAAAGGAATATGTTTGTATTGACAAAGAAGAATGACACTTACTGAAGCAGTTGAATCCGTCGCCGCTGAAGCCACTGTTGCAGGTGCAGGTGAAGGAACCAACAGTGTTGTCGCACCGAGCGTTGCCGTCACAGCCACCGTTGTTGGTATTACACTCGTTTATATCTGAAAATCGATTTTATTGCTGCGTTAAATATTATACATTTCACACCAGTAAACCAGTGAAATAATAACACAGATATGTGCTTGTTGTTTTATGCCGCAGTCAACAATATTAAAATATATTACGGTGACCTGTGAATAATTTGAGTGAGGCAAACCTGTGTTTAATAGTGGTAAATGTTGACGCCGCCGGTTACAGTGACACGCATCTGGCGTCAGGATCACGACCAGGCTCAACATTCGCTTGCATCTGCATCATGTACTATTTATGCTTTCCTACGACAAGAATGTACTATTTATGCTTTCCTACGACAAGAATATTCTATTTATGCTTTCCTACGATTAGAATGACTGTACTATTTATGATTTCCTACGACAAGAATGTATTATTTATGCTTTCCTACGACTAGAATGTCATGTCGTTTTCCTACTACTAGAATGTTCAATTTATGCTTTCCTACGACTAGAATGTTCTATTTATGCTTTCCTACGACTAGAATGCCTGTACTATTTATGCTTTCCTATGTCAAGAATGTTCTACTTATGTTTTCCTACGACAAGAATGTTCTATTTATGCTTTCCTACGACTAGAATGTACTATTTATGCTTTCCTACGACTAGAATGTTCTATTTCTGCTTTCCTACGTCTAGAATGTTCTATTTATGCTTTCCGACGATAAGAATGTTTTATTTATGCTTTCCTACGACTAGAATGCCTGTACTATTTATGCTTTCCTACGTCAAGAATGTTCTACTTATGTTTTCCTACGACAAGAATGTTCTATTTATGCTTTCCTACGACTAGAATGTACTATTTATGCTTTCCTACGACTAGAATGTTCTATTTATGCTTTCGTACGACTAGAATGTTCTATTTCTGCTTTCCTACGTCTAGAATGGTCTATTTATGCTTTCCTACGTCTAGAATGTTCTATTTATGCTTTCCTACAAGAATGTTCTATTTATGCTTTCCTACTACTAGAATGTTCTATTTATCCTTTCCTACGTCTAGAATGGTCTATTTATGCTTTCCTACTACTAGAATGTTCTATTTATGCTTTCGTACGACTAGAATGTTCTATTTATGCTTTCCTACGTCTAGAATGTACTATTTATGCTAGCCTACGTCTAGAATGTACTATTTATGCTTTCTTATCATACTAACAGAATGATAATCAAACAAAAGTTTCATCTTCTCCATCACAGAAGCTCCAGAAGCTAATCACCTTGGCAGCTGATGGCAGGATCCCCAGTGTATCCTGCGGGACACCCACAAGTATATGACCCTGGGTTGTCAATGCACACTGCGGGGGCCACACAGGTGTGGCTGCCGATGGCACACTCGTTGATGTCTGAAAGAGTGAGTGAGTTGGGTTTAACACCAGTTTGAACAGCTTTTTAATTACAACAGCACGAGTCAGCTACCTGTGCAGGAACGTCCAAAGTTAAAAAAAAGGGTGGTGTACATTTACCGATTTGAAAACCAAATGCATTGGCATGGTTAAGAAAGCCCACGGACCATACACAGGATGCATTTAGGAATTAAACCGATGATCAGAGCGGCGAACTTATGATGATCGTTTAACACTGACTGCCATGCTAAAAAGCTGGTTTCAAGTGATTTATATGTTCTGTGTATCTGGATTAAACAGTATCCTTATATCCTCCAATATGTTTTAACAACATGTTTATGCATGTTCAAATATACCTTGGCTTCTCCGATATTGTTGAGCAACTAGCTCCCTATAAAGTGATCATGAGTATGTGATAATAGTGTGTGTCCGCCTATAGCAATGTTCCAGCAACATGCCAACACCCCAGAAAGGAGCTTTACACATTGCACGCTAGACTAACATTTACTCCCAGTCTCTTATTTATAAATATATATTTACAAAAAGAAAAGAAAATCCAAATAGAGCCCATAACAATGCTTAATTTCAGTTGAGGCAATCTAGACTTGAGGTGGGGTCATTTCTGAATATAATCTCTAAGGTTTGGGAGAAAGACTAACTGCACTAACTGTTTCCCTATATAGGTGACTAATTACACACTACATAGTTCACATATTGGTTCTTTTCTTACTGATGCAAAAGGTGCCAGAGCCGGTGTAACCAGAGTTGCAGGTACACGTGAAGGAGCCTACGGTGTTGTCGCACCGAGCGTTGCTGTCGCAGCCACCGTTGTTGGTACCACATTCGTTTAAATCTGAAAATCGATTTTATTGTTGCATTAATATTATACATGTAGCCCCTGTGAACCAGAGCTACCCTGAACAGGTAGAAATTGAAATTGTTGAATATGAATATGTTGATTGGGAAATTGGCAAACCAATCTCTAGTTCGCGTGCGTGCGTGTGTGCGCGTGTGCGTGTGCATATATATGTACCTATAACACAATGGTAGCAGGGTAGGATCAAATGCAAAATATTCATACACTTCTTAACAAATCTTTTCAAAGTAATGTTTTAAAACATGAATTTACATGACACTTATCAGTGTGTCACGCAACTATGTTACAATCTAATGTACGGTCTCTCTACAAAACGACGCTTTTATATATAAAACAAGAAATGAACATACAGTAAGTCGAGGAGGGGAACATTAGGGAAGATGTGGCTGAGGTGAAATGGGGTTTAACGTCGCGTCCAAGATTATTGCACTTATATAGCGACGTGTATGTACGTGTGTGTGTTTGTGTGGCTGCTTGTACTAGTCCGGACTGATGCCGATTTATAGTGCTAGCTCACTGAGATACCATGCCGCAGTTTAACATGAATACCCCACTCAGACACAGTATACTGACTCCGAGCCGATCAGTCCTTGTTTTCTCCCCTTAATGCCGAGCGCCAGACAGGGTAACAACAAGTACCATCTTTTCCCGTATTGGTATGACGCGGTCGGGGATCGAACCCCGGACCTTCCGCTCTCCGGGCAGATGCTTTACCACTAGACCACGAAGGCTCTCGCTTGGGAAATAACGGATTTTAGACACTCGTGTCGTGAACATACTGTGCCATGAACACTCATATGCTACCCTCTTTATGTGTTGTGACCGGAGAGAGTGAGTGAGTATGGTTTTACGCCGCTTTTAGCAATATTCCAGCAATATCACGGCGGGGGACACCAGAAAATGGGCTTCACACATTGTACCCATGTCGGGAATTGAACCCGGGTCTTCGGCGTGACGAGCTAACGCTTTAACCACTAGGCTACCCGACCGCCCCTTGTGACTGGAGTGAGGGGGTTTGGTATACAGTATTTCAGTCATACAACAGCGTTTCAGCTTGACGTTGGAGGAAGCTCATCGTGGTGCAGATCTTAAAGGTTTACCACCTTCTGAAACCACGGGTATGTTGTTGAAAGCGAAAGAGGGCGAATCAGGTACTCCAACACAGGACCATAGGTTTCTTCACGCCAAAGGTACGCGAGTCAGACAACTGGTAGACACGGCTGGGAGCGAGCCCTTGATAGCATATAATTTTACTGTGTTCCCTTTTTCATTTCCATCATTATATTATGTATGGGGTGATCCTTTACCTGTACATCCAACAAAGCCATTTCCAGTATAACCTGGCAGACAATCGCAAGTGTAGGAACCAGCCGTATTGGAACAGACAGAGTTTGCTTGACAGGTGTCAGTGTTGGCCGCACATTCATTAATATCTGAAACAAGGCAGGGTGTAAAGCATCACCAGTAGATACATTCCGAGGGTTTTATACAAACAGATCTAAATTACCTTCACGTTTTGTCATGACGGGGATACCGTCCAGGTATATTCGGGCAGTCCGTACATAATCGAGTCTGGACAAGACAATACCGTGATTGACATCATGAGCATGAGATGATGACATGTATCAACCAAGTCAGCTAGACTCACCACCCGAACCAGTTAGTCGCCTCTCATGACAAGCAATGGTTGCTTAAGAACGAATATTCACGGAGACTGTGCATGTGGACTACATGTGCTAACTATGGCAAAACTGAATATTCATTGGTATTCATAAAAAGCCTACCCTAGCAGACAGACCAAGCACCATGACAGCGTCGAATTTCGAAAACGCGACCAGTGGATCCTGGTAAAACTAAGGGAGGTAACAGAATCATAAAAAACACACATTCTTTTTTTTTAAGTTAAACACGATTCAATGTGTAACATCAAGCTTCTAAGACAAAATTACCTGTGCAAGCTATGGTCGGAGTGCCTGTGTATCCGTTCGGACATGCGCAGGAGAAGGAACCAATGGTGTTGGTACATACAGCGTCTGTGCCACAGTTGTCAGTACCAGAAAGACATTCGTTGTTGTCTGAAAACGTGTTCCCAAATATTTATTGATCAGCCTTTCTAAATCAGTTTTGTGTAAACTAATACTAATGAGATGTGCTTGGGTAGCCTATTGGTTAAAGAGCTCGCTCGTCACGCCGAAGGTCCGGGTTCGATTCCCCACAAGGCTCCACTGCAAAATTCTGGTTTCCCCCGCCGTGACATTGCTCGAATATTGCTAATTGCGACGTAAAACCATACTCACTCCCACTCGCAAATGTACATGTATCTTACTCTCTAATTTCACCAAGTCAGTCAAACAGATTGTCTTCTTAGTATGTTAAACCTCTGCCTTGGAAAACTACCATCGAGTCAGTTGTTGATACAAGAAGACAACTCGCGATGTTAAAAGTAAAACCACTACCCTGGCTAAATCAGCTCATGTGTGCGAAATATTCAAACGAATCTAATAGACGTGTACAGTACTCTTTATTTGAATACTGTCCGTTGACCAGATCGTGGTATTGGTATTTTAAAACTCCAATTTTTATTACTGCCCTCAAAAAGTACACCGAGTCATCTGTAGAATCGATAAAACCTACATCGACATTTGATATAGAATTATGCCATGAGATAAGTTGAAAATCTACTACTCAAAAGAAATTCAAGAACACCCGATTTTCTATCATATGACTATAGTTGTTAATCTGTAATGGTCATGACATTAACTATAGTCATAGAAAATAAAATGTGTGTTCTTTAACTTCTTTTGAGCAGTATAAACATACCACATGACTTTTAAGTTAAATCATTTCGAAAATTATAAGCTGTTAAATGACTAATGCCTTCACTTAACGCTATCGTCGCAAAGTTTAATTATTGCTGATTCTCTTCGGGTAGTATGTCCATTGCTTCAGCAGTGATATTCAAACAGTACGTACGATCTTTGCAGAGTTTCGGTGAGTGTTTTCAGCCTAGAAGCGTTTGTAATTGTTCGGTCAAATTTATTTTTAAGTGTATTGCTTTCTTTTGCCCCGCATTTATATGACAGCAGTCTGTACATAAACGAGTCTGTAACAGACATTCCAGTGATTGACATCGAGAGCATCTATCTACGTAGTGGAGATATGAGGACATGCATCAACCAAGTGAGCAAGTTTACCCGATCTCGGCACTTGCCTCTTACGACAAGCATGGGTTCCCTACATATACTGGAGGATAGTCATGCCTACAGGCATGTGAAAATAAACCTATTTATTATTGTCTTGAAATGGAGCATCAGCCGTTATGTCACCCTTAGGTGAAAGCAAATGATTGGTGTCGTTATATAATTTAGCTAGTGTTTCTATCTTACCTGTGCAGCTGAATCCATTACCGGTGAAGCCAGTGTTGCAGGTGCAGGTGAAGGAACCAACAGTGTTGTCGCACCTAGCGTTGCCGTCACAGCCACCGTTGTTGGTAGCACATTCGTTTACATCTGAAAATCGATTTTACTGTTGCATTTGTCTCACACAGAGTAAACCGTGAGTGAGTTGGGTTTAACGCCGCTTTTAACTTTATTCCAGTTATATCACGGCGTGTCAGCTTAATGTGGGAGGAAATCCCGATGTGATTGAGATCTCAGACGTTTACCACTTCGGTGAATCCCACGAGCATGGGTATGATGCTGACAAACCTAGAAACATAATAGGGGCGAACTGGGATTCGAACCCACAATCATAGGTTTTCTGCAGTCCCTAAGGGACGCAACTCTGCACAGCGAATCGCCTTAGACGACTGGGCCCATGGTGCCCACAATTTGATATTGATTCATAAACACGTTTAATATATTGTCAGAATAGTACACTGGACTCTCCTTCTATTTAGTTCACAAAAAGCGGATGGGCTATCATATCAAACCTGTGTCAATCAATCACTGTATTCAACCTATTAATGCAATAGCTGAAATAATGTTTTCTCGTAACCATCACAACGAAAACCATCATACCAAAGCAAAGTCAAGAATATCATTCTAATAATGCTTTGTAATCTACATGTCTCAGCAAATGTTGGTGTTGTCATATAATTCTGCTATCGTTTGTATCTTACCTGTGCAGCTGAATCCATTACCGGTGAAGCCAGTGTTGCAGGTGCAGACGAAGGAACCAACAGTGTTGTCGCACCGAGCGTTACTGTCACAGCCACCGTTGTTGGTAGCACACTCGTTTGTATCTGAAAATCGATTTTATTGCTGAATTAATCGTAAACATGTAGCCCTGTAAACTGGAGAAAATCTAACGTCGTTAATTGGTTTTTTTGTTTTACGCCGTAGTAGCAATGAAAAAAGGTTATATTACGTCGACATGTTATTAATGCGAGCCAGGCAAACCAGTGGTTGGCCACCATTGTGACTTTAGCGTACTAGGTTTACGGTATTCGTTATTGTTGACGATCGGCGAATCTCAATGCAAACTACGATGTACCCATGAAACAGGTAAGATTGAGAAACCAGTTGCTTTCAGCTTGGAAACACCTGTATGAACCAAATCAGCTAGAACACGTGAATGAATGTGCAGCGAATGGTTCTCACGACCAAAAGCCGAAAGAATTTACCAGTTCGAGAGCAAGACCTTGATCTCGTCAGTCTGCGACTGATTTTTATCGGATGAGATGGATACAAAATGCATTGTTTTGGCACCATAAATGAGCCCTCAATCATTCTACAATCGTACTGTGACCAATTGACCTACCAACACAAGTCTTTCCGTCACCCGTGAAACCGGCGTTACAAGCGCAGGTGAAAGATCCAATGGTGTTTGAGCAGGTTGCTTGACCGTGACAGTCGTGGGTATTGAGGGTACACTCGTCATCATCTGAAACATACCATTTGGTTATAGCGGGTAGTTCAAGCTTACAAATGGCGTGTAAACGGATATTAAAAATAGTGTTTTCAGTCAATGCTTCGAACGAGGTATTGACACGCATTTCCTCTCTGTGAAAGGGACAACCACAAGTATGTTTTTTCTAAACATTTGTTTTTAGGACATCCACTAGACTTTGCTGTTTTGGGGTTAAAACTGAGGTAAAATATTTTATTTCCATATGATTCTCAAACATTGTTTTTTTAATTCAAAAGATCTCACACCCTTTCAGAATATCAAGTTGTCGGTCCGTACGTTGACCCTTCATGACACAACACGTTTAAGGGGAGGATTCGGGATTTCAAAAAGGTGATGGTGCACCATTCCCCAAAATATGAAAGAACTGATACACCAAACAAAGGAGGATGTTCATCTCTTGAAACCTCCTCATTTTCGGAATCCTCCAATGTTCTTATTTTATTTTAGATACCACATGAACAAATGCCACATTAATATTATGTGATTATATATTTGCTGGTAACAGTTTTGTACCAGTGCTTTATTACTCTTTCTCAGTATGGACATCTTGTAGTTCTTAAAGTTGTAAATGTTGTTCCAATAACTGTTGAGCGTAGTTTTTGCAGAAAAAAATGGTAGTTGTCGCAGCTGTCGACGTGATGGTCGCCGCGACGTTGTGTTCACTTACCTATCTGTATGCAACATATTCCAGTATAACAAAGGAGGTAATTGTTGCCTCCTGGCGGATCTGATGTCCAACCCGTCGGACAAACACTGGCATAGCACTTTCTTGCTGAGTTCGAGACTTGGCATTCTGAAACAAGTCATCAAAGGTATGTTATATTGTACTGAAGGCGTTTTCTATTTTTGGCACACATGAAAAGCCAAGAGCCTGTAACATTGACATCCTTCATTGAAAATAAATCTGTTTTAGCTATTTATATATTAGTTTGTATTTTTAATCAAATATCCTTATTCATGTCTTTTGAATACTGTCATTTATATAAAATTGCACCTTGCATCTACATATGTATATGGATAAAGAAACCTTACCTAACTTTATTACGGTTTTATTACGGTTTTCAAGGCATGAAAATATTGTCATTTTGCGTGTATGTACCAATGTCATCCTTTAAAATATTTATTAATAAGTATTTATTGCGACAAAGGGAAATTGAGATATTCGGTATTTATACTGAATAATTTATTTATTCAAAAAAATACTTTTAATATATGCTTATTGTCTAACCGTATAATTCGTATTGTCTTGTTTTGACTGCCGTCCCACTCTGGTATTTTTCTTTGGTAATGATATACAAAGTCCCAAGTTTATAGTACCCGCATATGTTTCAAGTAAATATTTCATTTGACATTTGTCTTCTCTCTTTTTCTAAATGTCCGTAAGAAAACATTATGTTAAAATCACTGGTCACTGTGAAGAGTGTTTCCGGACAACTGGCTATATTGAATTAAAAAACGACGTAATCATTGAAAATTATGTCCAGCTTCGTAAGATTATTCCGGAACACAATTTGATGAAGCGATTTGTATAGATGAATAAATAATTATGATAATAGCGGATAGAGCAACACTTCTGGATGATCTCAAATGTTTTCGTAATAATCGTTTTTGGACGTTGACACATTTATAATTATACCCCTCTCTAATTCAAAGTATATTCTATTTTTACTTGGGCCTCGTGTCACAGTTTTTTTTAGGTAAACAATTGTGTTGCCTTTGCATGTGTTTACGAAAGGGTGCCAGCGGTCGGGCAGGAACTGCTCACTTTTTCGCGAACTCCTGGTATCATCTATTTGATAGTGATTCATAACCACATTCTCATGATATGGTCGGAATCATACAGTGGACTCTTCTGTTATCAGATATTTCTTATGATTATGGAAAGAGTGTTGTCGCATATATTTATATTAAGTCAGTCATGACACATATCAATCAGCGGTATCAATAAGGAAGGATTCCACGTTTAAAGAACAAGAACACATACATAGCTCAACTTCTTCTATGAAAGAAGAGACATTTGCATATAATAAAACACAGATGTCACAAAACGCTTGTGTGACTGCTCAAGAGACGAGTTCATATACTAGTTCGAAAACATTTCTTGACGTGAGATCATTTAATGACAAGACACTTCCAATAATACCACAGCCAAATGTGGCTATAAAGATTTATGTATGAAAAGAAAAGCCCCTAATAAAATGTATCTTAAAAAGAAGTCCACGTGTTATCAAAGAAAGGCTCCAGTTCGTATTACTATTCATAAATGTCGAAATACACACGAAGTAAATATTCATCATCTTAATTATTTACATTCTCGTTGTGTTAGATGTTACCAAGCATATTCAAATACGATGGGAGAGGTGTGTGTGTGTGTACTCTAAGGGCGACTTACTTCGCCGCCTCTCGGCATAAAGGTTTCAGTCAGACGTGAAATGTTTGAACAAGAAGATACCACCCTCTTCACGCAGGTGACTACGTTCAAGTACCTTTTACCATAACGTTAAGATGATGTTTTCTAAAGACCTAGAACTGTCACTGAAATGCTCCCATGAGAACCCTAAAATGATCTGAATTAACTTTATCCGCATCGCTGTAATATCCTTAACCCAAGTAACTTAAGAAACATGAATAATCCAAATATTGCAGTGGTTTTGGTACAGAAATTGGTATAGCATAATTATTATGGACAAATGTATGATATAAACGGTTAACATTAAAGTTATCCTGGCTGACAGGTCATTGAATACATCCCAATACATCGATAATTCATCGATAATTATCACTTTTTGTAAAATATTCTGAAACATCGTTTAATCTTTTAACCAGTTGCTATAATGATTTAGCCACTTTATCATCGCATTCGGGAACAATAATATGTTTTTACTTACATTGACTTTAAGCCGATAAAGTATCCTTCTTAAATAGACCATTACGATTGTTTTCTCTTAAATAATATCTATCATATTCCATTACACTCAGAGTTTTGCATTTATAAAATGTATATATAACAATGTATATGTGTCATAACATTATTCTTTGTCGTTAAAAAAATTATTGAATTCATATATTTTTCGAAGGTTATTACAGAATGTCTGCAAATGTATATGTTACAGTCAATGTTTAAAATCAGTCAATGTTTATAAATTGCCTGATTTTACAAATTGACTTTAATATCTGTTATACGTATCGATTTCTCTTGAAGTGATACGATCTGGTGCCTATTACGTGTAGTTCTGGTTAAATGTATGTTCTGTACATGTATGCACGCACCGCAAACAATTCGGATTCTCTTGAAGAGACAAAGCAAAATATATGGTGCCTATTACGCGTATTTCTGGTTATATCGGAGTGTCTGTATGTATGCACGCACCGCAAACAATTCGGATTCTCTTGAAGAGACAAAGCAAAATATATGGTGCCTATTACGCGTATTTCTGGTTATATCGGAGTGTCTGTATGTATGCACGCACCGCAAACAATTCGGATTCTCTTGAAGAGACAAAGCAAAATATATGGTGCCTATTACGCGTATTTCTGGTTATATCGGAGTGTCTGTATGTATGCACGCACCGCAAACAATTCGGATTCTCTTGAAGAGACAAAGCAAAATATATGGTGCCTATTACGCGTATTTCTGGTTATATCGGAGTGTCTGTATGTATGCACGCACCGCAAACAATTCGGATTCTCTTGAAGAGACAAAGCACAATATCTGGTGCCTATTACGCGTATTTCTGGTTATATCGGAGTGTATGTATGTATGCACGCACCGCAAACAATTCGGATTCTCTTGAAGAGACAAAGCAAAATATATGGTGCCTATTACGCGTATTTCTGGTTATATCGGGGTGTCTGTACATGTATGCACGCACCGCAAACAATTCGGATTCTCTTGAAGAGATAAAGCTAAAAATCTGGTGCAAAATTCCATGTATTTCTGGTTATATCGGAGTGTCTGTACATGTATGCACGCACCGCAAACATATGCAGTTCACGAATAATTAGGGTAGTCATTAACTAATAGATTTATGTTCTTGATTTAATTTGAGTTAAGAAAAAATATAATTTGAATGGCTCAATTGAAACCTGCTAGTACAATGACTTATCTCGAACCTAGCCTCCCTTTGAACTATGTTATTAATATGATGACATCAATAATCTTAATAACCGTGTGTAAAGTATCTATTCATTTTCATATTTGGATAATGACTAGCCAAACAAAATTTCTTAGACATCATCTTTTTATTACAATGGTGTAGCCAGACTGTCTTCAAAATCACACGTTTTGTGTGATCATTTTAAAGAAACCTTTCACAGGGTTCTGAAATCGTACATATTATACATACATTAATCAATATAGTTTACGTTGATTAAAATGAAAAATACCATTAGATGTATTTTAATAAATATATAGTCTTTGACGCCATACTGTCGACGCTCTTTAGACGTTGAAGTGCGTAGTAAGTTCTTATTATATTTATCTTGGCATCACATGGGGAAAAGAATGTGAATACGTTGCTCTTCTAATTAACGTCTCATTAAGATTCATCAGAAGTGTTGTTTGTACTTGAAAAAAAAAAAATAACCAATTCTTATTTTGATTTAGCGTCATAACTCTGGATCGTGAGCATTGATGTATAGTAACATTTCGTGATAATACGAAAGCAGTTACAACCTGTAGTACATTTCAACTCCATTAACAGTTTGTAAGACTGACAAAATATCTGAACAAATTTTACTAAAGCACGCCAATAGTCAGTAAAGTACTCACCACTGACGCTCCACAGCATTTCCATGAGAGTCGCCGAGTTAACTACCGTTATAAAGACAAATAGCAGCCCGAAAACCTTTCCTGACATGACGGGCGCCATCTTGTTGTCTTGCTGTACTGGAGGAACGCAAAGAACTAACCGTTATATACTGAATTATATATATTCATTCAGCTTGATGCGCAAACAATGCGTCGTGAAGTTCAGGCTGGGTGGATTCCACCCTACTTAAACATCAACATTGAATAGAACTTGTTGGATTAAGCAAATGGGCATATGAGGTCATGAAGGGAGAAAAGGGCGGAAGGTGTAAAAGAGATCTCTACGCTAGAAACCTCCGCTTGAGGACCCTCTTTGTCAACAATGCGTTGACATATTGATGATGAAACATTTGTATATAATTCACAAATGTTATTACATTAGTGAACATGTTAATTGTAAGTTCATGACGTCTCGCATTCAGGTTTGCATAAAGTATCTCGTGTAAATTTAAGTACTCTGTATTGAAAGGTGTTTTACGTGGTGTTTTTCTGAATAGCTCCTGTCAATGAAAAGGTTTGGACGTGTTTCACAAGCCTATGTCAAACAACTGCACAAAAGTCATGCATATAATAGATACCTGAGCAAGCAGTGATATTTAGTTTTCACAATGATAAATGTTAGGGTGTGGGGTTTGGCTGAAGAGCTTTGATATGACGTCTCTGACGTGAGGGACTTGGGGAACAAGCCACAAAGTTGTACACTACCTGTAATAGTCGCGATGTTAGCCTGAGGTCGGACAATATGATGATGTTGCAATGAAACACCGTCTGACATATTTCACGTATTTGTCCATCACTGATTTCAAATGATTACGTCCTCATTCCTTGAACCATGGGACATTGATACCTAAACGCGGTGACCACTGATGTAGTTACATCACTGTCTTAAAGGTTCAGTTCGAAAGTGGCATCTGATGGTGACTGGGAAAAGAGTATGTGAAATGCTGGGCTTCCTTCTTGGTAACATGTATGTACCATTCGGGGAAATGACATTTTGGCAAGGGGTAGGCATCCCCATGCGCACCAGTTGTGCTCCCCTATATTTCTTTATGCCAATTAATCGGATTGTGTGCTCACACACAAGGGGATTTGGTCTAGATGTGTAACCTATGATTCAAGCATTTCGATGATATAATATCGTTCAAAATTGATCAAATAGCCAATTTCTTTTCCACTAAATTTCCTGAACTAGAAATGAAAGTGACCAGTGAAACATCCTCTTCTGTTTCATATTTAGATCTGTGCATACAATTCAGAATGACAAAAAACTATGCACAGTAAGAGAAAAGGGATGACGTCAACTGTTCCCTTATGTCGAGCAATAATTCCAGTACCTCAAGCCTTTGTATGCGTGAACTTCCCGACATAATTCCATAGTGCCTCGTCTTAATATTATAATAAGCTACAAATATATATTGGCATCTCGTAACTTCAAATAATATTGTTCTTGGCCATGGCTTCATAATTTTAGGCTAGAACCTGATTGTCTTTGTTTGCGTAAACGTTTACTCATTGTAAGAATTGAACCTTTATACAAGACCTTTGATAATAACATCGGTTCAGTGCTAACTTCTTCAATTTGTTAGGAACTACTTTGGGCTGTTTTCTAACACAAATCAATGTACTTAGCCACATAAGAATTGTCAGTTCACCCATTAGGAGCCTGAATATATAATAGACCTACATGTCAATGTTTTTTATGACTCGTCTTTTAATAATTCGTGCTCATTGGTTGAAGATGTATTCGTCTATTTCATTAGCACACGTAAGCAGTACCTTGTAACCTGTGTAGATTTAATAGTCATGGGTGACTCATAAAGCGTCTTCTCAGCGTTGTCAATACATGTCGCAACCACACTTCAACTGTTAATTTGAGGGTTGGTTCATTGTATCGTTGGTTTGGTATCGTTTGGTAAAACAAATTATGATGTATTTTGTTAATTAATATACTCAATATTGCTGAGACGTTTTTGTTTTATCGACCATGTCCACCAGGTAGACGCTAGTCTTAGCGCCAAAGAAGAATGCACCAGCAGTCATTTTATACATTGGATATACCCACGCAGACATCATTCAACCTTGGCCCGTTACACGTTCACGTTGAGCTGACGTGGTCAACGATATGGGGAGGGAAACTGTGATTGGTCATCCCTGGCAAGTGGTCAAGTAGGATCCTGCTAGCCGGAAGGGTGTTATTTTCAGATTACATTAACATAAGATTAGCATATTACAGAATGAAAATATCTCTTGTCATTTCGGTTGTGTGATAAGAATTTCCTCAAGTGACGGCTAAAGAACGGGTATAGTGACGCTATTCCTCACATTTTCCTCAACATATGTAAAAATTTCGAACATTTTCAACATTGAAAAAATGTTGCGTGGAAACATAATTGATTTCTCTTATCATATTATGGTCACCATGGACATTAGCAAAAGAAACTAATAACCACATGTACAATGGTCTTCAACAGTTATTCATCCAATGTAATAGGCTTATTTATATATGAAATCAAAAAAGAAAGCCTTCATTTAATCTTATATAGTAGGCATTGAAGCACCCATTCCTCCCTTCAATGTAGCGATAGAGAAAAAATACTTCATGGGTAAATTAGCAAATTAGTGTTCTTAGAAATGGAAATCAATAATTTACTAATTACAGAATTATATTTCATGGTTATAAGTTTATCAATATTACACCTGTTCAGTCATGATTATTAAATTAGCAATATATTCAAGGAAATTATTCGTATCTTTCAGACACTACCAAATTTATGTCTAAACTATATGTAAGGATAAAGTTAATTCAGTAATGTCAAGTACCAACATTCAGAGAAATTGTAACCTTTCCTTGTTTATACACATGCTATTTCATTAGGATTTCCATCCTGACTCTATGCAGCATGGGCCTGTGGTGTGGGCCTGATCCGTGGTCTAGTGGATAGAGCATGTGCCCGGTTTGACACCCGCCGTTGTATTTAAGCATCTTTATATTAATTGTGAGTGAGTGTGTGAGTTGGGTTTAACGCCGCTTTTAACAGTTTTCAAGTTATATCACGGCGTGTCAGCTTAATGTGGGAGGAAAGCCCGAAGTGATGCAGGTCTCAGACGTTTACCACTTCGGTGAAACCCACGAGTACGGGTATGGTGCTGACAAACCTAGAAACATAATCGGGGCGAACCGGGATACGAACTCACAATCATAGGTTTCTGGCGACCCCAAGAGACGCAACTCTGCACAGCGAATCGCGGCACCTTAGACGACTGGGCCACCCGTGCCCCCTCATATTAATTATTTTCATGTCAATAAAGTGTTGTATAGATACCAGTCAGGCTTTCAAAAAGGCCATTCCACTGTCCACCAATTAATTGAATTGTATAACCATGTAACTGTTTGTCTATCATTAGACAATAGAGAAAAATATTGCATGTTGGTTTTTTTGTGATGTGTCAAAACCAATTGATCGTGTCTGGCATAGAGGGCTTATGTACAAATTAGAATGTATGGTATAAAAGGGAATTTACTTAAATGGCTGTCTAGTTACATAAGCAATCGTACTCAATCAGTGTTTGTAAGCAGGGCTCTATCCAAACCAAGGATTTTGAAGGCTGGTGTTCCACAGGGGTCGGTATCAGGTCCCGTTTCATTCATTGTATTTGTTAACAACATTGCTGATGAATCAGATTGTATAACAAGACTTTTTGCTGACGATACAGCACTCGGCTTTTCTTCACCAGATAACCAACTTGTTGAATCAACTCTAAATTTTAATCTAAGCCAGCTGTGTAAATTGCCAAAACGCTGGTTAATTAAACACAACTCAGATAAGGTTATATTTTCATTAAAGGATGAATCAGACCTTATTACCTTGTACTTTGACGAATGTAAAGTTAAGAATACTCAAAGTCATAAACATTTGGGTATAACGTTTGCATCAAACAGAAAATGGTCCTGTCACGTAGATAATTAATTCAAAATCAAAAACGAGAAAATTCAATGAGAAAATAAAAATTTACATTGAACAGAATTACATTAAATAAAGTATATACAATTTTCATAAGACCCCATTTCGAATATGCGTGTGAAGTGTGGGATGGGTGTTATGTAGAATTATCAACTCAGTTAGAAAATCTCCAACTAGAAGCTGCCAGAGTAGTTACTGGGCTCCCAAAGTATACTTCGCACAAACATCTGTTTTATGAAACAGGATGGGAAACGTTAATAGAACGAAGGAGGAAACGTTAGCTATGTTTGTTCTACAAAACACAAAGTAATATTGCCCCAACTTATCTTAAAGACATAGTACCAACCACTGTAAGTTCAAATGTATCATATAATTTAAGAAATTCAGACAATATTGTGATTCCATACACTAGATTAAAACAATCAAGGTGTTCTTTAATTCCATGAACTGTTGGGTTATGGAACAGTATTCCTGCAGCAGGTAGAAACTGAACATCTACATCCCAGTTAAAGTCGTACATACAGAAAGAGCAATGTATTGCACTTCCATATTTTTCCTTTGGTGTTAGAAAGTTGAATATTTATCATACTCGATTGAGATAAAATGTGATCCAATATGTCAATGTGGTAATCCATGTGAAAACTCATATCATTACTTATTAGAATGTCCATTGTATGTCCACTAAAGAAAATCTATGTTAATGATCATTCGGGACATTTTACAGAATGCCGCGAACAACAATGTTAAATTAGATTTAAGTTTTGATGTTAAACGGAAATGATGTTTGTCCATTATCGAAAATCAGCTCACTTTAAGGCAGTGCAAATGTTTATAAGTCATACAAAGAGATTTGGGTAACACATTAATGTTAATATACTATTCTCTCTTTTGTACATTTCTCTTATATCTATACACTCATCTTCCCTTCTGTTTTCCTTGTATATGATTTACTGTACAAGTTTTTGTAAATACCATGGAGATGGAGTCCTAAGTTGGATAACTTGTTCCCAATCCATTTCAATCTGAATAAAATATGTTTAAACTAAACTCCCGCCGCATCAAACCTACGACGTTACAATATGGCACTTGTTCTTACACTAACGACGTTAAAATATGGCACTTGTTGTTACCCTCCCTGGCGCTCGATTTTTA